CACACACACACGTGTACACACACACACACACACGCACACAGAGAGAGAGAGAGAGAGAGAGAGAGAGAGAGAGAGAGAGAGAGAGAGAGAGAGAGAGAGAGAGAGAGACACGTGGCGAGGTAATGGCGCTTCGACTACGAGTGGCGGCAAGGTGTTTGATAGGACAACGACTTCGGACTGGCACGGCAAGCGGAGGGGATGCTCTTCGATGTGCGTCGACGTGGCGTTCAATCAACGTGGCTACGACGACCTCAGCGTCGATTATCGCACGGTCACCATTTAATCTTGATGCTCGACTGAATGGTAAGTTCCTCCATTTCCTCCATCTCCTCCATTTCCTCCATCTCCTCCATCTCCCCGAACTCTGCAGGATTTCATTCACATGCATGTGTGTTTGTTTGTTTGTGCTCGTGTGTGCATGCCTGTTTACGTAGAGAGAGAGAGAGAGAGAGAGACGGCGCTCGTGTGTTCATCCTTGCCTGTGGTTGTGAATGCCTGTTTTGAGGGGAAGACACACAGAGAGAGAGAGAGAGAGAGAGAGAGAGAGAGAGAGAGAGAGAGAGAGAGAGAGAGAGAGAGAATTGGGAGTGTATAATAGTAGCTGCTCCGCAATTTCGAAGTAGGGAATGCGGTTTGAGAAACGGAGAGGTAAGAAGTGAAATGAACGCCTAGGGTGAGAAGAGAGGAGAGGGGTAAAATTAGGGTTCATCCTACGATCTTCACCCGAATAGAATGCACGGTCATAAACGCTGTTACAGTATCTAGACTACAAGTTGTCCGAAATACAGCTACAATGACCGTGCGTTCTATTCGAAAAGACGGTACCACAAATCGAGGCAGCGCTGAGCACTTTCAGGAAGAGATTTTTAGACTTCATTTTTTTTCAGTTCTGAATATTTACCAATCTATTTTATGATAATAATATATATTTTTAGTTTTGAAACATTCCTTTTCCCCTCCCTTACCCTCTCTTGCCCCCTCTTCCCCCCTCTTCCCCGCTCTTCACCCCCTCTCCTCCCCTTCCCCCGCCCCGTTTTCCCTGTTCTCCTTCCCCCGCGCTCCCCGTCCTTTCCCCACGGATTCATTCTGGACGTTACATCCCAAGGAGCAAGGGTCTATTCATTTAGGGGAGAAAAATAAAAAATTGGGAAAATCAGGAAACGAAAGGGGAAAACAACGGGAAAGAAGGGAAAAAAAAGAAAAGAAGGAAAAAAGAAAAGAAAAGGGAAGGACAAAAAAGAACAGGAAAGAAAAGGAATAGGTGAAAGGAGAAAAAGATGAATGGTCTGAAATGCAGAATCAAGGAAAGTGCGACGTTATCAAGGGCCTGATACATTTACGGGAGAAAAAGAAAAAAAGGAAAAAAAAGGAAAGAAAGGGGGAAAAACGAAAAAAAAAGGAAAAAAAGGAAAAAAAAGAAACAAAGCTTGGCTACCAGAGTGGCCCGGGACCACACTTGGCCTGCCGGGGGCGAAAAATAAATTAAACTTATACAAATAAATTATTTTTTATTTCTATTTATATTACAAATTTGGCAAAGAATTTCGATTCGACCCTGAGGCAAAAGTTGCTCAGTTTATGTTTCTGCATAACATTAGTCTTCTTTTTTAGGCTACCAGAGCGGCGCGGGACCACTTGCCCGGCCAGGCCAAAAAAAGTAAAAAATAAAAATTAAAAAAAATAGTAATATGTTGTAATTTTACTATTTATTTTAAATTTGGTAAAGAATTTCGATGTGACCCTGAGGCAAAAGTTGTTCAGTTCACTTTTGTGCATAACATCCTTTTTTTTTGGATTTTTATTTATTTCAAATTATTGTTTATTTATTTTTTTCTTGGTCCTTTCGTGGTCCTTGCACGGCCCGACCGCCCTGGAAAACAGGGTGACCCGGGCGGCCCGGCTGG